CCCCTCTCTCTGTCGCGCCGCCTCCACTTCCGCTCACTCTAACGTTTCATGGTATTCATGAGAGTGTGAAGCATTTCTCACGTGCGTCAAGGATGAAAGAAGCGGGGGAGCCAGCCGCGCGAGCAGACAACGAGGCAGGGCTGAGGAAGTGAGCCGCAGAAAGGAGAAATAAATAAATATTTGAACCTCAACGTCAACACGAAACAAACTTTCACATGAAGGAAAATATACTAAATTGTGTGTACCGTGTTTCTGGGCTACGACACAGCCGACGACACAACAGCTGCGGGTTTCGTGTATCTTTTTCTTGTTTTCTTTTTCTTCTCGAAAGGTAGGGTTAAAGCGTTTGTTGTTATTTATTTAACGATTAGAATTTCCCGAAAATTTCCAGAAAATTTCTGAAAACAGTTTTCCAGGGCTTCCAACCAACCCCCCCTTTTTTCCCCCTTTTTTTCTGATTTTGCTAACTTACCTAGCATTGTGTCGTCCAGCGCGGCGGGCCCCCGGTCCTTCCAGCCGACCAGGGGCGGGAAGCAGATGACGAAGGACAGCACCCAGACGACGAAGATGAGCCAGCGCGCGCGCCGGTTGGACATGAGCGAGGGGTAGGTGACGGGCCGGGTGACGGCGAGGTAGCGGTCCAGGGAGATGGCGCACAGGTTGAGGATGGAGGCGGTGCACATCCACACGTCCACGGCCAGCCACATGGAGCACCACACGTCGCCGAAGATCCACACCTGCAAGCCGAGCGACCACACATACTTGTTTAGAGGTACAAAGCAGAGGGAGACGTTGCATTTTGAAGAAGTCCGAAATTAGACTTAGAGTGTGAGATTTCTCCGATTCCTTTGCTATCGAAACCGAATCCCTTCCAGGCTTGTGTTCGAGGGCCTGCCATGTCACCACCGCCCCCTCACCGGGCCCTTTAATCCTTCACATCTCCTTCTTTATGGATTTCCTATTCCTTTGCTGAGGTTCCGCCCGGGCCGGGATGCGGGACGCAGGGAGGCCACAGGCCTGGAAGGAAATCAAGCAGTCAGAACTGGCCGGGGTCGGGGGCTGGTGGGGCG